CTGTATTAATTCTCAGGGAGAGAGAGAGAGCTTCATTAGAATTTTCTCTAGGTGTTAAGTGCTTATAAGTTCTTGGGGGTGGGGGATAAGGACTCATGTGCCACTATCCCCTAGCTATTGTAGTCTGCCTATAAATCCACAGGGAAGTTGGCATATGTGTAACCCATGACAGGATTCAGACAGCACAATCTTATACAAGGTTGGATCATACAATTCTTGACATATAGGAGGAAAAGTTCTTCATTGATATTCTCTCAAACAGCTTTAGTTATGTAAAAATCATCTTCCATATGAATATTAAATTTTAGAGTCAGTTTGAATACTAGAATCAGCACATATACTTAGACAACAAGAAGAAATCAGATGTAACAAAAATAATTTTTCAGGGACATGAATGTACAATTAGAATGAGTTCTCTAAACTATTATCAATAAGAGATTAAAACTTGCAAATGAAAAAGACCAGTGAAATAATGAGTATAAAATACATAGAAATTATTAACCTATAGATACACAAAAACCACTTAAAGAATATAACAGAGGAGTCCATTTCTGAGAATATGTAAAGACAAGCAAACAAGCAATGAAATTTAAAGTCTAATAACCTCACTTCTAATACATCTGAACTTCTCACTTAGAAATGGGCTGTTAGTAAAGTGTGTGCCAACTCAGGACGACATACAAACCACAGGATAGCTCATCAAAGAAACATTTTAACCCTCAAATGATTTTCCCATTCAGATGCCTTCTAACTCTTCTCCTAGAAATGACTTGAATCCCATACATGTGAGATGGTTTATATATCATTGACTTTGTTCTTATCTTTCAGTTACTGAGTTTGATGTCATAGCAAAGACTGACCAAGCCTGCTTTTAACAACAGGCTAACCTTGTCTTCATCCAGGTTAAGAGCTCATTATGGGGAGGGACTGTATATTCTTTTATCTTTCAACAGGGGTAGCATATCATTATGTTGTGAATACCATAGGTGAACACTAACTGAATACTTTCTCCGTCACACAAATGAATTATCACTAAACTTTCAAGTGGTTAAGTGCATTCCTTCGGGTTTACATTATCTAATTTAGGAAGTCCTATGTGCTTAGTTGTACATCAGCAGATCTCTAAAGACATCCCCCACTCTTAATTCCCACCTCTATTATCAGCTTCATCCCTGTGCCCTGCAATCATCAGCTTATGCGCCCCTGTCAGCCTGGGGAGTCTTGTGGGCAGAGATCATCTGTTCCTAATCCCTGTATTCTCCCAGTGCAGGACACACTGAACACTCTGTATTTTGTAGAAGATAATATGACATCAATTGGGATATCAATTTGTGCATGAGTATTATAGCCAGAAAAATTGACACGGGGAAGGAAATGTTTTTGAATAGATGCCAACAGATTATGATATAGAGCAATTTATGTCTGAAAGTAAAAGTTTCTCTCAAAGAACAAGCATTCTTGTTCATTCAGGTCCATCTTGCTTAAACCGGTGGAGAATACAGTGTGGGAGGTACTTTACAGAAAGTTCTGATGATGATGTCCCTTCAAACTTGCCTCATGAAATGAAACAAGACCAATCAAAAGACTCAAACCAAATAACTTGTCACATAATCGTTATTTTTTATAGTCAGGAATGAATTATTCAAAATTCCTTATACTTCACAAATTTTGACAGGTACAAATGGAGAGGTAATTGTAGAATCTGCAGATACTGTAAATAGTTTGTCACAGCCACAAACT